TTCCACTTCGTGAGGCAAACTAAAACTGCGTAAATTTATTTGTGTAACGCATGGGTTTTAGATCGTTTGGTGAAATGAGTTTGTATTGACAAGTGCCGGGCAGGTCAATATATCAAGGACAGTGGTTCCGCCATCTTACAGCCGGCCGCCACTGGATCTGGACCGGATCCAGGCCCAGGGGCAAACAATGTCCCTTGAAACTTCCTATGTGTCCATCTTAATGGCATCTTCTGCTTCAATCCCATTACCCGATTTGAAAGACACCTTCCAAAATCTCATGTTTGCCCACCACAACGCTTTAGTTGATTAAAATATTTCTGGCCCTTTAATTCGAATAATGGTCACAAATTCCTCCACAAATTCATCCGATTGATCAACCTCTAGTGTACAAGTCCTCCTAACCTAGATCAGTCCCAATTCGTCGACCGTTTCATCCAGCGGCCGAATAAATATCGCTGAAACTTAGGGTTCTTGCGGGTGAAACCCAAAGTTAAGATGTCCACCAGGAAAAATGCGGAAACTGTGAACCAGTCTTAACCATTCTAACTCATGATCTGGCATGCACCACATGCCTTCAAAATGTTTATTGCTGCTGTGAGACTAGATGTGCCTGATTCTTAATTTCGTGTTTGGGAATGAAGGTGGTAGGTAAAACCCGTTTAGCTTTTCACTTTTGGTATGGCCAAAGATGCTATCCTGCCCGTATTGACAGTACCAGAGCACCGTAAGCCCACACTACCTGTAACGTAGCGGAGACGTTGGCTTATCCGTCAATGGTTGATTTTACGCTACTGCGAGACGCCCCAGGTTGATATACAGGTCATAAACCGAGCCGCTGCGTACGGCGCACGTCAGAACACTGAGCGTTTGAAAGTTGATTTCTCCGGAGCACCGTTGAGTCTGTAGGGAACACCAGATCGGCAATGCTGGAGTGCGTCAAATAGTCTTCGGAAGAAATAACTCGCCCTCGAAAGATCAACTGATCACACTCCACAGGTTGCGTGGGTTAGATCATGTGGTCGGCATCCCAATTGTTAGATTTTCTCGAAGGGTCCATTTGCACAGCCATGTGAAGCGTGGGAGCGAACCACGGGATGTCAGACAATGACTTGGTCGCGAAGTATGAAAACCATTGCTGGTAAACTCATCTGCAGTGGTCATCGGCGTCGCCATGTGTTAGGGCATTGTGTAGGGACACATCAATGGCCAGAGAGACTGTCAGACATGAAGCAGTTACACCAAGAATGGCACCAGTACACCCGAGCTATTCTCTGCAACGCTCAGCTCTTGATCTCCTTAATAAAGTGCTTACAGATGCCCATGTGTTCACGCATCAGCTGTGTAGGTCACCTCCTCCATTGAGCAGCCACCTATTTGAAATCTCCAAATCATCACTGAAATTAACGGCGACCGGTATAACCATTGTATTTTAAGTGATTGGTTTTCGCAGCTACTACTGAGGGTGATAATGACCAGTAAAGCCGTTTGAAGATTTAGCTGTGGTGGGGTTGCTCACGGGTTTGCATGAGGAAACGTCATCTTCCGGTGAACTTCAGGAGGCTATGGCATACGACACTGTGAGTTAGAAAGTCTGTATTATGCAACCGAATTTGAATTCACCGTGTATCACAAACAGGCGAATCTGTGACGTCGGAGACGACATTTGGGGTAGACAGTGCCATGTGTAACTATAAGGCTACCTCCAGTACTTCGAGTTAGCTCGGAATAATAATTGCCCCCATTGATTGTTATGAGCCGTTGCGTTTTTCCTTGTGTGGCATTTGAACGGGGAAGTGTGGCGAAAGGTAGAAATTCCGCCTGCATGCTTTCTGCGTAATTATTTTGTGTAGACATTTGTATTCGATTGTTTACTCTCCTAGAAGGCGACAGACCCGGGGTGGGATGCGCAAGGTACTGATTCAAAATAGAAAGTTTGCCTCAACTTTGCTCAAGGTCACAGGGCTCTCTTGGTTTGCACCCTCCCATCGAAATGGAGGATTTGCACCGAGTTTTTCTACTTACAAACCAAAGCCTGATTTTGTGATCGACAGATCTCTTCTTGTTCACCGACTGCATATCATCCGTAGGCTGGAAGCAGCTCGCACTAAGGAAGGGGACGGGAGAGTTGGCTCATCAGTACATCCGATCAATCTTTAAACCCACAGCCTCCAAATAGCATGCGTGATATTGTGATTCACGTTTTACACTCGATAGACATCCGTTTCGGCTTACCGTTTTAGGGGATTTTGGCCTGTATTAATCTGGCCCATGGTTGTGGAAATTGTGTGTACTGCAACAATGGGGAGAAAACTTACCAGGAATTTTTCAAGTATATGATAAACATTGCCAAAATCATCGAAACTAACTGATACGTGTTAACTCTTTAAACAGGGTAGACAGTGAACGACCCCGACGAAAAATATGCACGAGCAAAAAAACGAAGCAAATTTCGAAATATGGCCGATCTTCCTTTCGGGCCTCATTAATAGCCGCGCCGCATGTTACTTCTTCCAAATATCTTGGTTGCTCCAACATAAAGCCGACACCGAAATCACGCAATTAACAGCTAAGAATGTGTTCAGTGGGCTTTTTGTAATTACATTGCATACGTCCCTATTATATCTTGTTCAGGCACCAGCAGTACGTAACGCGTCAAACGCATTTTCCATGAAGCGCTCAGGTTGCTAATTGATATCACAGGCTTCCGCACTAATAACCACATCAAGCCACAAAGGTGGTGAAGCACGTTTCTTATAATTTTTCTTGTGTGCAGCTCCTTTCTGTGGCCACATTCGATAGCCTCCTGAACCAAGTCCGTAACCCTCAGTTTTTAATATGAGAGCGCAAATGACGAGCTACACCCTTATGGCCTTCAGCTGAGCAGAAACCGCCTGGATAAGAATAAATCCAAACCGAGAAGCTTGGAAAATTCCCTGATTACCTGTACTGATCCTTGAATCTGAGACATCTGGATATTTTTGCATTCTCCGGGGCAATCCGATCATATTCCAAAGCCTACCTAGGTCGGTAAGAAGAGCCTCACTCTACTAAGGTTTCCAAAAAAATCTTAAAAATCCGGGAAACATGTCAAGACTAGACAGAACTCCTAATAGCGCCTTTCAATCCGATACAGAATGCTGAACTGCTCAGTTGTTTGAATGCACTAAGGAACTCGGCTGCAGGAGTCGCGGACGGAGGGGTGTAGCACGCGCTGTCTTGCTCTGGATATTTAACGTTTTGTTGTGTGTATTGTAGGTGTTCCTCGTCCTCTCTTCTAATATCACACTATTTTCTTTAAGTGGTTATCGATGGCTCACTTTGATGACGACGATTTTGATGTTGTTGACACCGGTGCATCTGCTACAAAACCACAACAGTGCAGTTCTCTGCGAGTGAACGGTTTTGTGGTCATGAAGGGTCGCCCCTGTCAGATCACAAGCATGTCAGTTTCCAAGACGGGCAAACATGGAGCTGCCAAAGTGCACTTGGTTGGTGTTGATATATTCACAGGAAAGAAATATGAACTACAAGATTCCTCTACTGCAACGATTGCCGTCCCAAATATATCGAGGAAGGAATACCAACTAATTGATATTAAGGACAATTTTCTGTCGCTTATGGGAGATGACTTGTCTGTTCGTGAGAACATTCCACTGCCAGAAGGCGAAGTAGGTAAAGAAATAATGGAAAAATGGGAGAACAAGGGAGACGAAGATGTTGTCACGGTAAGCTCCACTCTTTTTATCCTTACGCTATCCCAAGGTGTGGGTGGTCTCTGCTATGGGCGAGGAACAAGCATGCCGTGTCCGCTGTACCCAACAATAGTGACTTTTTCCCCTATGTGGGCACTTCGATTTCGCTTTTTATCCCATTTTTCAATGAACACTATTAAAGGAATGAAACCGACTGAGTGTATTTTGATAACAGGTACCTGATACAAGTAGGTCCTGTGTGGCTATCAATATGGTTTCGATATCTCCCCTTCCACTGTGTGGTCGTATGTCGCCCCCACATGTTCATCCCAGGCTTTCCGGCATTTGGCGATTATCCAAGAATGCTCATCCGTATCTGCAAATACTTGTTAGAATACCTTTTCACTCACCCGCGTTGCGCAAGAATTTTCCTTCGTAACTCACCACGATGCGCTTTATGGGGTCATAAAAGCCGTCGCCCGTGTCGTAACAGCCTTCAGGTATCTGTCGTGGAGGCTCATTGTTCACCAACTGCGATCGACCTGTGTGGTAAATGGATTTCATTAGGTACCTTTATCACTGGGGTTCATTGGAGAACTGTCTTAGTGTTTTATCTTCGTTAATTAACCTAATGTTAAACCCAGAATTGACCGGCTTCTATCAAGCAGAGTCCTCGTCATCGGTACCCGGCAAGTGCTGGTACGTGCTTCCGAGCTATTTATACAGTTGTGAGTTACAGTAAGGGGATAGATCGCTCATTTGTAACACCCGGTGCCTAGCTGCCATGCTACCCGAAGGGATCGCGAGGGCTGGGATACTGCCAGGTTGCCCAAGCCTAGTCAGGGGAAGTCGAGAGGCAGAAGCCGGGTTCGAACCACGGATCTTCCGGTCAGCAAATTCTCGATCTAACCACTTGAGGCATCCCGCAGTAAGGGAAAACGCGTGGCGACTCCATCTGAATGTGACTAAACAACACAAAGGCATACATGAAATAAACCTTAAGGTGGACTGAGATGCACGTTGATTTATGTTTCACCACGGTCTGTGATTACAGCCAACTGACAATTTTTATGCATTCATATTCACTTTAGAGACAGTGTACCCGTTCCCGTGGTGTCTTGTGGAGTCAACTCTCAACTTCCCCTCGTATATTGCACTAGGTGGACAAGACGTTGAGGGATGGGTGACTCAGACTCCTCACGACAGGGACAAAAACTGTTCAGCTGTAGTGCCCTTTCATTGTGCGTCTTATTTGCAACCCGAAAGGACCGCGAGGACTCCTCAAGTCCAGATGAGGGCAATCGAGAAACTAAAGTTGGGTGCGAGCAGCTGAATTCCAGTCAGCAGCTCCATGTCATAACCGCTGACGTCAACACAGGATAAATGAATTCAGGTGCATGATTTCGTTGGCGCCCCATATATAACGATGGAACTGCAACGAAGTGTAAGTCTGTGGATTCTGGTTTGAAGAATACGGGGCCGTTCCATCGAGCGATATGGAGATCATAGTCTTTTCCTGTCCTGTACGAACCTCCAACACAAACGCTGATATCGAGTTACTTGCAGGCCACTAATCGCAAGGCGATGATGGACTCCATTGGACCATGTGGCTAACAGTTACCGATGGGAACCTTCGTTATCGTTCCTTATAGGGTACGCAACTTGGCGCTGATCATGCAACTGTATGAGTCCGGTTGTCACTTCACCTTCAGTCAGTACTGCGCATGTCAAGACGGCCGTTCAATTTATCAACTTCGACAAGTTTCAGTGACTGAAGAGAATCGAGCTGATCTAGAAGGCTATTATCAACTTCGACAAGTTTCAGTGACTGAAGAGAATCGAGCTGATCTGGCTAGAAGGCTACTTGAAACGCACAGTCATGCAGATGATGAAGATTAATTGGAGGTCAATGGAAGCAGTTGAATAAGCTATGTTGTCAGCTGTTTGTCCAAGCCATCTGACGCGACCAGATGAACACTGGATATTGTCGAGATCAGCTGCCGAGAAGGCCATTCCAGTAACGTGCAACTATCATCATCATCATCGACAGCATGACATCAGTGTTCAACACCGATGCTTCACTGCCGTACAACCATGACTTATTTGAAAGTCTTATTGTAAAGAAAAAAATAAAGGTGGACAGGGAAGGGACCTAGTGCTAGCTTAACACAATCATTCCGAGGTGCCTACACCTCCAGACATTCACTCAGGCAATCTGGATAGAAACTCACAACAAAAACGCCACTGACATCGGTTGGCGGCCATATCTTGTAGTGTCTCCAACCAGGCACAGTGAGGATCACGCGGTCCCCATCCTGGAAGGCGAGTAGCACCGACAGCACCCAAGCGTTTCGTGATCTCCTTCATACTCCTCTGCCAGGTCATGGGTTGGCCACCTCTCTGTTTACGCCAC